TTTTTTTATATTAAATAAATATGCTAACAAGTTTAAATAGCTTTAAGTTTAAAAAGGTGTGGTACAATCCAAATTACATTAAGCCATACCGTTTAAACTAAGAAATGAGACTGGACCTTTTTTTATTAAAAGGCATCTCTTTTATTTAATAATTTTTATTTTATAATTAAAACTAAATCTAAATCGTAAAGCATGAGACTCAAATAGTTTTACTCACAAAATAACAAATAGAAGAAAGAAATATAACAGATCCCGTGGCCCAGAGCTAAAAGGCCCAAACCAAATAACAACAGTCTGGGAATTAAAAATAAAACCGAGAACGGACGGCCCAAATACAGCCCAATAACCAATGAAATTATTTTGGTAATTCAGCAAAACGCCACTGAAAGCCTCCATCTTTTTCCTTCTATTACCCCACTGGTTTTTCCGATGGATTTCCAGGTGGTGGTTCTAGCCGGCAGCACTTCGAAGAATCTCGCTCCTCTCGTCTCCAAGGTCTTCCTACGACTCTTCCTTTTTCATGATTTTTGGTTCCAATTAATCCATTCTACAATCATTGCTGAATTCTTCTTTTGCACTTGGAATACAGGAGGTGCCCAAAGCGCTGCTTCCGGTGGCGAACCGTCCCGTTATCTCTTACGTTTTGGAGCATCTGGAGCAAAAAACCTCAAGGATCTGATTGTTGTAAGCTTCGTTCTTCCTACACTCTCTGATTCGATTGTTATTTTCATGTTCCTGATTAGCTTGAAGTGTTTTTGGCGTAGGTGGTAGAGGGCAAAGATGCGGTACTCCATGCTGGTGGTTGGATATCTGGGGCTTTTATTGATCGTCTACATGTTGAGGTATCTGGATGGTTTCATTTGTTGGATGATTAGCTACAAAATGTTCGATTGCTTCTCTTTCACAGCTTATAATCATGTTTTCTCTGAAATCTGGGGTGTGTCATATTGTACTTAAATACAATTATTGTAAGTTCTAACAATGTGATTCTATCCTATTTATAGTTTAATTTGTTATTTGTTTTCTTGGTATTGCAGGTTGCTGCAGTCCCTGAGGATGTGGGAACTGCTGGTGCAATTAGGGCCATTGCACACCACCTGACTGCGGAGGACATTTTGGTTGGCATTTGCTATCCTTCATAATAGTTGGCTTATGTGATAAAATTCATACTTTAAAGCATACTTCACGTTCCTGCAGGTTGTAAGTGGTGATCTTGTTTCTGATGTGCCTCCTCGTGCAGCGGTGACTGTGGTGCTCTGCTCTGCTCCTGTGAGTGGAGCTTTGGAATCAGGATCTGGTGGTGGAAAGGATAAAACCAAGAAACCTGGACGATATGACATCATTGGCCTAGACACTACTAAACAATTTTCATTAAGGGTAAGTGTTGTGAATTGTGATGTCTGATGTGTGTGCAGTCTGGACTGCATAATATACCCTTCTTTTTTCCCTTGCTTTTGTAAGTATCATCAAAATTTGACTGTCCTATTCCACTTTTCACCGACGTTGCATTCCTGGGTCAGTTCTTCGCGAAACCCTAATTTCTCTTTCAGCAATTCAATTGAATCGATCAATCCTATATACAGAAACAAGGGATAGCTGTCGTGGTTCTTTGTTGGCATAACGTGAACGAGTTGTCCTTGGGGGGGATCTAGAAGCGTCGATTGTTTCGCAAACTGGAGCAGGTTGGCGAAGGCACTTACGGGTCAGTTCTCTCATTGTTTCGTTGTTTTCTACGGTCCTACAATGTCTACGTACGTATGATTGTTTGAGTCGACCTGATATGACCCTGCTTGTTTTTTCTATTTGCAGTCAAGTTTACAGGGCCAAAGAAAAGAAAACGGATGAAATTGTTGCTTTGAAGAGACTACGAATGGACAAAGAGAGAGAAGGGGTATGTTTATGTTTTCACCATTTTTCCTCCTTTTCAAATTGTCTAATGTCTTTTCTAATAATTTATTTATCTGTTCAATTTCTCCCCCCTGCAGTTTCCAATCACTGCAATACGTGAAATCAAAATTCTAAAGAAGCTAAATCACAAGAATGTAATTGAGCTTAAAGAAATTGTGATTTCTCATGGTAATATTGTCAAAGCAAAATACCCAAATCTACCTCAAAATATAGTTGCAAGAACAGATCCATCTATGAATAAAAAATGAGGATAAATTCATTCATAAAATTTTCAATTTGGATAAATCATCTTAGATTTAACGTATGACGTCATCTAACATCAGCAATTTGTTAATTTGATATCATTTGATGTCAATAATCTGTTAACAAATTAACAAATGATTGATATTAGATGATGTCACAAGTTAAATTTAGAATGATTTATTTAAGTCAAAAACTTTATGAGTGAATTTATCTTCATTTTTTGTTTAGAGTGAATCTGTCCTACCACTATACTTTGGGGGTAAATTTAAGTATTTTGTGAGTATTTTGGCATTCTCATAATCTCAGATGCTATATATCTATGCAGCCATTTCTCAAGGCATGGAGTTGAAGATCAAACAGGCTTTAAGTCATAAAGTGTGGGGTATATACTTAAATACGCGTCAGTTATGTGGACTATTATTATTTATTTTTTTTATGTACATTAAAAGTTAGTGGTATCAATAAATTTGATTTTATTTTATATTGCATAATAACAAACTTTTTTTATTTTTAATTTATTTTACTTTATATATTATACGACTTAGAATTAAGATTTTTTATTTTTAATAAAAAAATTATTATTAAAATATTTAAGTTTTCGTTGGTATTTTTTTGTTTTTTAAGTGTAGTTATGGATAGGATTCATGTGAAAGCTAAAACCACTTTGAGGATCTTCATTAGTAGTTATGCCAATGTTTATTCTTATTCTTTTTCTGTTTTTCTTAGTTCTTCTTCTCCAGAAGATGCAAAAGCAAAAGCAGCGGCTTCCTCCTGGCCCTCGAAAACTTCCAATTATTGGAAACCTTCACCAAATCGGTGCAGTTTCCCACCAGTCGTTTGAAGAAATGTCAAAGA